ATTGAAGAATTGATTTAATTTGACATCTTATTTTTTTTTTTTTGCAGATATCGTGCCCCAATAATAGTCAACTGAAACTCGAGCGTGGAGATTTGGACAAGATGACACTCATTGAGGTTTGTCAAGAACTATAGATATGCACTCATGTGATATACATACATATGTATATATATGTGTGAACTGTTTTGAATTGACGAGATACATATACGTATATAGGTCGGTCCGAGATTTTGTTTGAACCCTATAAAGATGTTTGGAGGCAGCTTTGGGGGTCCCACTTTATACGAGAATCCCTTCTATGTTTCACCAAACCAGGTAAGCTCTTCTACTACTTCGATTTGTGATGATGTCATCATTCACGTCATTTTCTTTTTTTAATATATACTTACTGCTCGATATTTATGCTGATGTCATTCAGATTCGGTCGTTGGAGAAGAGGAAGAAGGCTGGAAAATATGCAAAGAAAGTCAAAGCAAAGACGAGGAGGAAGATGCACGAGATGGAGAATCCACTCGAAGTTGACGAGTTTGCTGATATGTGGAAGGACTGACCAATCGAATCGTAAGAAGAAAAAAAATATATATATTCAAGAATATATGGCTTAATTAATTGCATACCGAATTGGCAAAAATTTTGAGATATTTTGGAAATCTGTAACCGATTTTGACTTGTATTTTGGATGCTTAATCCTCGTATTTTGGATGCTGAATCCTCGTATTTTTGTGTCTCGTTTAAGAAAAAGTTTGCACCTGTGTTTAATTTGAAAGGTATAAATGGATGTTATGCTATTTTTTTCATTGTTTCAAATTTAATTTCTTGCAAGTCATATCTATTACTTGTCGACCATCACTAGCGGTCTCGACTTCTGAATATTAATTATAGTAGAAGTTCAAAATAGAGTAAATTACAACTACCCGAGGTATGATCAAATTACGAAAACCCCACTTTTGTTGGGTAATTACAACCACTCTCTCAACTATAAATTTTTTTAAACGTCCACCCTTGTGGTTTTCAAATTTAGTGAAATCTTCGAGATTATATGGAATATTATCACTTTTGTACCCGTTTTATCCCGTTTGAACTCCACATTTTGAAGTAAGATGATCCATATGTATTTTTCGGCTTGTATATATCAGATTGTGGTGCATCATAAACTGTATTTTTACACAAAACGAGTACAAATTAGAGCGCATTCCACAAAATCTATATGATTATGTTGAATTTGACACCATAAGGGTACAAGTGAAAGAAAAAATCATAGTTGGGAAGATTAGATGTAATTATCCAAACAAGAGGGGGTTTTTCGTAAATTGACCGTACCTCATGGGTGATTGTAATTTACCCTTAAAAATATAATTAATTAGATAAGTTTATCATTCACTTTATCTCAATTGTAAAATATTATATTTTAATGTTAAGATTCTTTTGTTAATATACAAGTAAAATATTATAAAAGTTAAAAACTATTAAATTTTTTGTTTCATATTACCAGGCCTGGAGAGTTAGAATCGTTAAATTAGGTATAGGTCTAGACGAGTCTAGGTATAGGCTATGGAGCCTATACCACCAACCTGGGTTTTATATATTTTTCGTGGGTCGTCAGAACCGAACAATTGCCGTCCCTAATAAAAATGTCTTTTTTCTCTTTTATTTTTTATTTTTCTAATAATCTTTAAGTCTAAAATAAATAAATAAATAAATAAATAAATAAGAAGCACATGATAATAGTGGCGAAATTTGGACGTACTAAACTACACCAGCTTTACTTATTTTGTCAACTTATCAAAATTATCATTTTTTGTGTTCTGCTTTTTGATAATTTGAGATGTGAAATGTACGGATGAGCTGTACCCCAATTATTACAAGTGGGTCCCACCACCACTCCCCCGGCATTGGATTCCCTTTTTCTCCCCGCGGTGCTTTTTTGTCGCTATTTGCTTTCAGGATTGGATTTGATTAGATTTAATAGGGGTGGAAATTAATATATTCTTAATATTTTATATTTCACTACATATTTGATATTTTGATTTACACAAATTGTTCAATTATGCTCCAACTTAGTTTAATAATAATAATTATTATTATTATATTAGTATTAATATTTATATTTATATTAATACCAACAACAATAATAATAATATTTAAAAAAAAAATTAAGTCAAAAAGTGTATGACAAATTAGATCTATAAATGCATGAAGGGTACTCAAATTCGAGTTAGAGAATTGGATGTTATTTGCAAAAAAATATTTAGAAGCAAAAGATAAAGAATGCAAGTTAAGTTGATTTAAGTGCTTATTTTTAGAAAAAGAGTGAATTTTTAAGTTTGCTACAAAATTAATTTAAATAGAAAAAATAGTTTCATGGGTACTTACAAATATAATTTAAAGTTATTTATTTTAAGAAAGGTATAAGTAAAAAAATCATTTTTAAAATACATATAAATAGATTATGAGAAAAACAAAGAAAAAAAAAAAACTCATAATCTTTAAAAAAAATGTTTTGAAAATTCAAACACCACATTAGTATGGTTCCTTCGACCCTACACCCGGTGAAAAACATCGGGTGAGTCTTCTGCTGCCACGTGTTCTTTTTTTTATTTTTCTAAAACCCCTAAAAGTAAACCCTAGCGGGGAATCTATTATAAAATACAAAAAAGAGACACGTGGCAGCAGAAGACCCACCCGGTGTTTTTCACCGGGTGTAGGGTCGAACAAATCACATTAGTATTATTCGATTAAATTAAATAAATAAATACATAAATAAATAAATCATTTCAAAGACTAGTCAAAATTAGGAGCGTGGGCGTCCACACACCGCCTTTAATATCACGTGGCGTTGACAGCCTGGACCCCCATTCTCTCTTTCGTACTCTTTTTCTCTCTCTCTCTCTCTCTCTTTTGCGATGCAATACAATTTCGTACAGTAGGCCCCGCTAAATAATTAAATAATTAATAAAATAAAACCCCCACCTCTATAAAATTAAATGCACACAAATCTCACACCTACCATTTGAGTAAAACTTCAATTTACAGAAGAGTGTTTCATTTCTCATTTCTCGAAACTCGGCTCAATCGGTCGGCTCTGTATTTCTTTCTCTCCTTTGTATGGCAGCTCGATTGTTGGCTTATCAGGTGGCTGATCTCTGCCTAGGCAAGCCGCCGCTCCGCTCCCTGTCTTCCTCCGCCACCGTCGCCGACGCCCTCGCCGCCGTCAAGTCGTCGGACGAGAATTTCGTCGCCGTCTGGAGCTGCGACCACTCGGCGAAGAGGAATCTGGAGTGCGTGTGCGTGGGGAAAGTGTGTATGGTCGACGTCATTTGCTTTCTCTGCAGAGACGAGAATTTGTCTTCTCCTGGCTTGGCTCTGAGGTCTCCCGTCTCCGCTTTGCTTTCGAACGCTAATGGCCTCGTCCGACACGTGGCACCTTCTTCCAGGTACTGCAATTCTCTCTCTCTCTCTCTCTAAATTTGGTTGATTTTGAGGTTTTTTGAAGCTTCGATAATGGAGGTGTAGTAGTATCCATGAATAGATTTATCACATATGGAATGGTGCTGATTTTGCGTTAATTACCCTAATTTGCCATAATTGAAGCTTAATTGGGGAAAAAAAAGAGAGGGAAAACGGAATTTCTGCGTTTTTGAAAATTAATTGAAAAAAATTAATCACTCGAGGATCTAAATTCAGAAGGTTCAATAAATTAAAAAAATATGGTGATTTCACTGTTCCTAACTTGCAGTAATATTCAATTGGAATTGGAATAACAATACGGTTATTTCTATGCTACGCCCGGTGAAGACTATGCCGGGTGATTTTTTTATCGTTGATGTACACACACCAATGTGGGTGTGTGTGTGTATATGAATGGTGTATTCAATGTTTCTAGTCTTGTTTCCCCAAATAACATAACGTAACGGAAATTGTTTTTTTTTTTTTTCTGTTTTTTGCGAAATTGCAGCTTAATAGAAGCCATTGATCTGCTTCTTGAAGGTGCTCAGAATCTGGTGGTGCCTATAAAGTCGAGCACCACCATCAATTCGAAGAGAAAGCATCTCCAGAAATCAATCAGCCCCACCATTCACAACGGCCAAGAATTCTGCTGGCTAACTCAGGAAGACGTGATCCGATTCCTCCTCAGCTCGATCGGACTGTTCTCCCCCATACCAGCGCGATCCATTGACTCACTCAACATCATAAGCAACGAGTTCTTGGCTGTGGAATACCACTGCCCCGCCATGTCAGCGATCGGTGCCATTTCCTGCTCGCTCGCCGACCAGACCGCTGTGGCGGTGGTGGACGATGAAGGCACTTTGATCGGAGAAATTTCGCCGCTCACTTTAGCGTGCTGCGACGAGACTGTGGGGGCTGCAATCTTGACCCTGTCCGCCGGAGATTTGATGGCCTACATTGACTGCGGTGGGCCCCCCGAGGATATCGTGGGCCTAGTGGAGGCGAGGCTGAAGGAGAGGAATTTGGAGGGCATGCTTAGGGAGTTTATGATTGTCGATTCGTATGGTTCAAATTCTTCCTCCTCGTCCGATGAGGAGGCGGCGGGAGGAGGAGCGGCAGTGTCAAGAGGGCAATATCGTAAATTTACGAGCTTTTCGAGGAGGGCGGAGGCGATTGTGTGCCGCCGGTGGAGTTCGTTGGTGGCGGTGATGGTACAGGCGATCGCCCACCGTGTGAACTATGTTTGGGTGGTGGAGGAGGACGGCGGTGTGGCTGGGATTGTGACTTTTGCCGGTATGTTGGAAGTTTTCCGGGAAAATTTGGAGTCTTTGATGTGATCAACTCTTATAAATAGAGATGAGTAGTGTCTATTGGAGTATCTAATCTGTAGTTACTGGTGGAGAGAGAGAGTGGTAAACTCTTTTTCCATTTTTATCCAGTGATGAAAGATGGGAACATATTTGTGCATATGAGCCTGTACTTTGTTGATGATTTTAGAACTGCTTTGCTTCGTGAAATAATTTTATATTTATAACTAAGTTTATAAGCTCTTAAAAACGAGCTTATAAGATGTTTAAGAGTTTATGGAGGTGAAAATTGGGATCGACACATTCTGTCTATATTCCTAAATGAATATTTTCATTTTTGTAACAATAATTTTTCATTGCGAATTCAAAAAATATTTTTTCGATTTGTTTTTGGTAACATAATTTAATTGATTTCCGATTGAATTATAATATAATATCATTACGAAGTTTATATTATAAGTGACTCGTAAAAAATGAAAATTTCGAATTTTGTCGATTTCATCAACTTTAATAGATATACTCTTTAAAAAGATCTTAAAAGCTGAGCAACAACTTAAAAAAATAAAAAATAAAGATCTTTTAATAAAAAATTAAATAAGTTTTGTAAATATTTTATAATTTTTTTTTCACAACTTATGAGTTTAGCAAAAAAACCATCTCAAAAATAGGGTAAAAGGTCTAGGGTTCGAGTCCCCCCTCCCCTATTTCCCCTTGTAATGACTTGAATTACTCAAAAAAAAAAAAAAAAAAAAAAAAAAAAAAAACCATCTAATCTCGGCAGCCCTATAAATGTACACACATCTCAGCTATTTTCAATTTACGGAGCCTTAATCGTCGCTCCCTCACTTCGTCCACCGCCGCCGCCGCCATTATTCATCGGAAATAATTTCTCCGTGACCACTCGGAGAAGAAGTGCTAGTGGTCGAAGTAATTTGCTATTTTCGCAGAGAAGAGAGAAATCCAAGTACTGTGTGAACAGAATTACTACTATGATCGAGCCAGAAAACGAGATACACGAAGAAGCGGCGGCGGCGGAAGACGAAGACGAAGAGGAATACGTTATGCTCGATTTGAGCAGCATCTCCAACCACATTCGAATCCCGCCGTACGCCCCATACGTACTCTCCGTATGATTTTTCAACCTCTCTCATCAAATTTATGCTTTCGAAAATCCAGATGATTAGCACTGACAAGATTTTTAAGATTATCGTTTAATTGAATTTAGTGTGTGTTTTAAGTTAATTGATTGTTTGAAGGAATAATTTAATTGCAGGGTTTGGATACGCTCAACCCGATTCTGATCATAGATAACAATATTAAGCTGGTATGTTTAATCACTGTATAATGTTTCTTCTGTAATTTTGATTTTATTTTTCTCTGTTTTTAATTAGGGTTTGTGTATGATCAAGTAACAAGGGTTTTTCAATGTTTTTTTTATTAATATAGTATTGGATTAATTTGTGGCAATCAAGTGAATGAGGTTTGCCTATTTGCAGTGCTTTGAGTAAATCCTTCACTATCATAAAACATCTAGGGTAAATTACAGCCATACCTGAGGTAAGGTCAAATTACGAAAGTAACCCCTCATGTTTGGGTAATTACAACCACCCCTTCAACTATGAATCTTCTTACACGTCCACCCTTATGGCGTCAAATTCAACATAATCTTCTATATTCCGTGGAATATTCTCTAGTTTGTACTCGTTTTGTGCGAAAATGAAGTTTCTGATGCACCACAACAATCTGACATATACAAGGCAACAGGAACATTTTATGATTGTCTTGTTTCAAAATGTGGAGCTCGAATGGGGTAAAACGGGTACAAACTGGAGAATATTCCATATAATCTAGAAAATTTCACTAAATTTGACACCGCAATGATGGACGTGTAAGAAGATTCATAGTTGAGGGTGGTTGTAATTATCCAAACATGAATGGTTTTTTTTCGTAATTTGACCTTACCTCATGGGCGGTGGTCGTAATTTACCCAAACATCTAAACAGACTAAAACACAGACTGCACCGTTTTTATATTTGTATTTATATATGATCGTGAAATAGGTTAAGCGTTTGTTTATGTTAAGTGATGCATATTATCTTATCGTTATTTTAATTGTAGATTTAATAACATACGGTGTTCTTTATCAGATTGGAGAGTACAAAGAAACATTTGGGACCTGCCTTGTTTTCAATGAAAGTGGTAAGGAACAATCTTAACTTGTTGTAAGAAGCTAGTCGTCGAAATTATTCACCTATTTAATTTCCCCTTTATAATTTGTTCTTCCATTGTTTTTTCGTCTACCTGAATTTTGATGATCAATCTACCAAAAAATCGATAGTCTAAATAAATTCATACTCGAAACTGGACGCCTTGACGTTGTTTTGACCCCTTTTATATGTTAGTTTTTTGGTTGAGCAAAAGCATGGTGTAATGCATCAAACGGAAACATAAAACTGTCGAAATTCAACGTTTTTTTTAACTTTTACAGATTGGTCTTTGTTAATGCATCAAATTCACCAATGAAACTAAAATATCCGTTTTAGAAAGATGTGCTTCGATTATTTTCTAATTTTGTCTCTTCCTGCGCGTACCTTTGAGACACTACGAAGACATTGAAACGACATGAGTTTTCCATTTTTCAAATTTGATTAATCCATTGTGTGAACATTTTATCGTTTTTGTTAGGGAATGGAATCCAATTTTGTCATATATGATTTCTTTACAGGAGTGGATCCTATCGATAAGGAACGGGCAGGGTCATCTGACCCGAAGCAAACCCCAGCCAAGAAAGTTAATCCGATAGCAAGTCTCGATAAGATTCTCAAATTCAGATTATTCATGGAGGCTGAGAATAGAGATATTGGGGCAGATAAGCAAGCAAATAATCCATCTTGATGTACTACATGAAATTACCTTTTTACCCTCTTAATTTATAGGATTGATATTAATAGAATACGAGTTTTTTTCTCAGCAAGTTTTTGTTTTCGTGTTGAAATTTGGGTATCGTACAGGCATACACGTTGTTGGATGCATAAGAGTAAGATTCGAATTGCATATAGATATGCATAAAACTAATTGGGAGGCATATGCAAAATCATCAAATGAAATATGTATTAAAATTAACTTCCAAGTATTGTACAACATCTGGTAATTCATTGTTGTTTACAACAACAATTACAAAAGTTTAACCCTGTCAAAAACGCACACACACACACTCAACCAAAATAATCGAGTAATTCTTAGGTTCACAACGGATCCAGGCTAAAACGAATACCATGATACAACATATGAATTCGATTATATATTATATATCCTCCACACGAAACATGAAAACTTGAAGAAAAAAGAACGGTTCTTTTCAAATTCAGCATATCGATGATATGAAACTCGAGCTGTGGTAAAAAGTGCAAACGCTTCACTTCTCGACAATTCTCTCCTTCAAGTAGCTCAGGACCCCTTTTGTTCCTCGGTCCAATATTGCTCTTCGAATGCTGCATAATCGATTGAAAAACCAAACAGACGTTATTTCAAAAATGAGCATTTTACGTTTTTTTCAGTGTCTTCATTTCTGACTTGAAGAGTGTGATTTTTTGTAACTATTTATGATGTTTGGAGATCAACATGTATTCGATTTTTGTCTAGGTATACAGCAATATGGATAATTTATCAAGGCAATAACATATGTCTACTTGTAATGGTTTATACAAAAGATATTTACGAACTCGATAGGACTTATTGGTTGTTTAACATATAATTGAGAGAGTACCTTCTCAATGGGTTTCCTTCAAGTTTCAACACCTGCAGGCTGGGTTCAAGCAAACCCTGCAAAAATCGGACGTAAATATAACAGCAAAAAATGACTTACGAGTGAGAAAAAAGAATCATAAGGTAAAATATGTCTACAGAAACAGGATCTTTATTCTTTAACAATTTAAACTCTCTCGTCTTGTATGTTTTCAGTTGAAACGTGCGTAAGTCGAAGAAAGCAGCAACTTCAAGTAATTCACCTAAAGCGCATAAATTTATAGCATTCAACGTAATAAGATTAAATTATTTATTCATCATACGAGGAGAACATAAATTTTCGATCTAGTGGACATGCAGAAAAAGTTAATAATTCGTCCAAGAAATGGGAAACGATAGTAAGTATTAAAGATCAAAAGGGGAGTAGAGACAAACCAGATTTGGTGGGAGCGAAGAAATATTGTTGTCTGACAGGTTAAGCTCTGTAAGAGAAGTAAGATCCTTAATGTTCTGCAGGGCGAACAAAAAATACTCAGTATAAATTTATGGACTTTCTACCCGTAGAGTGCAGCGTATAAAAAATCGTTAAACTTCAAGTCAAAGCCCATTGATTGAAGGGAATTGACCTCTGGAATTGATTGAAGGGAATTTTGGCTCAAATCAAGAATCCGCAACTGCTGTAAAGTCAATATCTCCAACGGGAAAGCTGATATTTGCATCCGCCTGCACAATCATGTACGAAAAGTGAATTTCAACGTGCACGATAATCAAGTCTGTGAGACCTACCCTAACCCTACGAACGAACCTCAGGTAAAGCTCCTGCAACTCTGGTAAGCTTGAAAATGATGGGTTTTCTGGTAAAGAGCCTGTAGTTCCACTTAGATCCAAAATCTGGAGCTTGGAAACGGCTTGAAAGCCATCTGATGGGATCTGTATAAAAGGAACTGGATCGTCAGAAGTATGAATATATACGCAAAAAGTTACATACGAAGAAGAGCATGCAAGATAAAAGCTGTAGCCCGATTTTCTTTTGATATTTTGAGGAAACACATGCATGAATATGCTCGGGAAAAGAATCACGATATCCATCACATGATTGTACAAATCGACCGACTAAAAGCTCATATTGACAAGTTTGTGTAGAACTGTTCGAGTATGAAATTAAAGAATAGATCCAATTGGCACATTGTTTTGGTGAGGGAGGCAAATAATCATATATATGCAGAATTTTCATTTTGACCAAAGATATTCATGTATTTAGCAAGAATTTCCCCCGACAAATGTTTAAAATTATATTCACCTTTTTTAATGGATTACCATCGAGTTTCAAGCACAAAAGTTTAGGAAGGCAAGCCAAAACTGCAGCAGGCCACTCTTTTATTTTGTTCTTGGACAAAATCAAAGCCTGCAATTCAAATGTGTTTGTTGAGTAATACTCACATGAATTCCTATGTAACACCAAATACAAAGAAAACTGTGAGCACTTCTGCGGAAATCATAATAAATAAACAAAAGATAAAACTTTATGATCCGGAAGTCTTGTAAGGAGTGGGGAGCCTTCACAGTAATCTCGATACTCGAAGAATATTAACCACCAGATTACTGGCTACTACATTCAGCAAACAAAAACAAATGCCTCTCGAGAAAAGATTATCCATAAATCACCTTGATGGATTGTCAAACTCAACTAATTATGTTGGAATTTTAAACAACAAGGACACGGCGAACGATGCATACTACAAGATTAGAACTACCTTTGATTGCATGGAGAGGAGACCTTTATGCTAGGAAAAAGAACATGCAATCTTCGTACTGTTTACCTCAAGGGAGACGCAAGATTGAACCTCGGAAGGTAAGTCTTCAATCGAATTCCCTGAGAGATTGACTTTCGTAATGCTGCTCGACTTCCATACTTCTGATGGGACAGCTGTCAGGCCCATCCGGACTAAAGAAAGTTCCTGAAGAGTAATAATGTTGGAGATACTAAAACCCTTGGGAAAAGTAGACAGATTTACAAAATCAGATTTAATTAGATTTTCTATCAAGATATACACTTTAATAGGGACCGCGTATTTGCATGTTGATGTCAGCCGTGTGTGATTTAGTTACGTCGTTATTTAGACGCGCATAATCACTTATATCCCAGTGAACTTACCTTTGAAGAGAGAGATGACCGAGTAGCCATGCTGACGAAATCCTCTTTCACAGGTGTGGTTGCTACAGACTCTACATGCAAAATCGATCTAGATAAATGCTCAGATATCAAACACAGAAACTTGGAGTGCATTAACATGAAATTTAGAAAGTGAAATACGGCAATTAGAGTTGGAAACAATTCGAAACTTAGGGTTTCAAGATGCAAGTAAATCAAATGCTGACTCCTGAAAAACCAAGAACCAAGTTCACCTTCATTTGCCGGGACTCTACTTCGGAGATACTTCAGTAGAGCAGGTGTCGGTCCATTTACCAAGGTGCTGAATAGGAAAAAAATATTTTGTTACCTACTAAAGAAACATAAATTATACAAAATAAGACAAGGGGGACGAAAAGGAATTGGTTCAGACCTCCGAAGTGTTCGCAGCGGATTACCAGTGAGTAAAAGTTTCCGCAATGTTGACATCAAGCCTAGACATGACATCTTAGCTCACGTTAGCTTTTACGTACGTATAAACATAAGTAGAATGGAAACGAAAACAGTGGCTGGAGAGTACAATGCAACATAAAAATAAGAATATTAGTACTTTTAGTTCTTAGTATTTTACGATTAGAAGCCATCTTAAGTGAATGCAAAAGGTTCTCCACCAAATTATGTTCCGGAACATTAGTTGGCCACGCCGTACGTATATTATATAACATTATGGAATTATAATCCAGAACGATATGAAAACTTGGTAGTGATCAAATCAGTATGGATCATTTTCACTAGAGCCGCAGGTCGTAGTCCAGAAATTAAGGAAATTTGGCAGACGATGAATACAAAGTTGGTCTCTTAGTCATTATTATTAGGAAATAAGATGCTAATCATTACCGATCTCAGGAGGCAAGCCAGACAGGGAATTATTAGACAGGTCAAGAATGGAAAGACGCAAGCTGCACGCCTCCACGGGATATTCTTTCAACTGCGTCCACAAAGAGACAATTGACAGAAGAACACAACTTAATAGATGAGATTGCCAAGATGAAAGAAGTAAAGAATCGGATTATATCTAAAAGTTTTATACAACACTGGAGAGTCTAGATCGGGCACCTGGTTTGACTGAAGATCAAATGTCCCCAGCTGAGTCAACGATCCAATTTCTGCAGGCAATGAAGACAGTGCATTGTTCCTGTAAAGAGATGAAACCAAGAAAAGAAAAAAAATATGGATATATATATTTGGATACCGAACGTGCAATAGAGGGATAGCCGATAGCCGGTATCGAGAGCTACCAAATCATACATATATTGACGAAGAAATTGAACTGACCCCATGTAAAACTCTAGAAGGGACGTGCAGGTTTTTATTGATGATGGGATCGCTGAAATTCCTGCCGAATATAAACTACATAAGCTGATGCATAAATGAATACCCAGTAATAAGTGAACAAATAACAGATATCAAAACGGGAATTACTCACTGTTTTGGTGAAGGTCAAGCCTAATTAAACGTGAAAGGCACCCAATACTCTCTGGCATACTGCTTAGTAAATTTTTAGCTTTAAGAAATTAAAAGTAGAAACACTTTAGAAATTTATCGACTGCAAGAAACTATAATAAAACTAGAAACGTGTTTTTACATGCGTTGAGTTCCATTAGCATGGTGCACGATGCAATGAAATTATTAGACAGCATTTCCACCTTGTTTCCCTGTCAAAAAGACGAATAACGAGATTAAAACCCATAAGTTATTTATCTTAATTGACATTATCATGAAATACTTCTGCTAATATTTTCCTTACCTCTATATCCAATTTCGTTAATTTTGAACAATTCGCCAACTCTTCTGGCAAACTGGAAATTTTATTATTCGATGCCTACGAAAATCAGCAAAGATCTCTATTAGAAAAGGCATATATATGCCTCATAAATTGGTATCAAGATGTAAGGGCCACAAATAAACTTCTTGAGGTTCATAAGAATTAATTCGAAACGAATCTAGTGAAGATGCTGAAACTGGTAATTAGTAGATAATTACAGTGTCAAAATCGGAAAAAAGAGACATCAGTAAACACATTTCAAGTTTATGACCATAACATGCATCACAACAAATATATACCTTCAGCTCTGCTAAATTTAAGCAACGTCCAAGGGAATTAGGAAGGAAGCTCAATTTGTTATTCGAACAATCAAACCTGTAGACAAGAAAACGAGTCAACACCTTCTGCCTAAGCATCAACACACCTCGTATTCTAATCAAACGATAATACCCTGTATAATAAATATGATTTCTTTATTCTTTCCGTTCCCACATTTGCTTTCCTCACTAAAATCATTTTACCTAAAGCATTAAAAATAGCATGTGAAAGTATTACGAGCACATACTTCACCAGAGAAGCTGCCGATCCAATTTCTTCGGGGATTTCCTCTAACGAATTAAACGAGACATCAAGTGATTTCAGCATATGAAGCCTGCAATCGAGATTAAAAAAATTACAAACATTTTTCAAATCTCCATTTCTCAGCTCAGATGTAAATTAATTTCATATAGCATACTCTCCAATAGCTGCCGGGAGGCGCGTGAGTTTATTGTGGCAAACATTCAGCACAACTAATAAAGGCAAATTTTTCAAATCTTCCTTCAGCGATTCAATTTCATTATGAGCTAGGATCAGCTTCTGCAGCTCCACAGCCTGCAATTATCCCGCACGAACACCATTAAATTTCACACGTGCAAAACGAGATTATCGTGTGTAATTAGTATCGACGACAAAAATAAAATAAATAAATAAATAAGTAAAATTACCTCCCACCATTTCTCATCTCCGCCAATGGCGTCCATACTTTTGTAAACCTCATCGGGCACTTCGCTGCAATCATTGATTATATAATACAGCAAAAATGAGAAAAATCTTCGTGTTTCGCTATATAGAATGCAGCAAAAAAAATAAAAAAATAAAATTGAGATGCATTTTCAGCGGCGAAATCGGAGTATGCGTATCTCGCCTGAGGGAGCGATTGGAGAGGTTGAGAGAACCAGAGGCGCGTGCAGATTTAAGGATTCGATCCATGGCGGATTTGATGATTAAATTAGACTGATGAACATTTGATTTTGTTTGCAGTTAGCTAACAAATCTGACTGTTTGAAACATGAGTTGAAGATGATGATTCAGGTTCAATCTCCTTCGGCTCTTTCTCCTGCGGTTCTCTGCAGTTTCAGTAGCGCGTTTGACAAACGCGATTTTAGTATCCTTTTCTTTGTTTTTAAATAGAAGAGCGATTTTACGAATATTGATCCCATAGAGAATATGAGACCGTTATATTATACTAACTATATTCAAGAGCACACTCTACAGAGTCGATTTTACAAATGATTTAACTAATATATAACTAAATTATAGAAAAGCAAATTATGGTGCAAATAATCAATTAACACGAAGATTAATTAAATTTAAAAAGCCCTTGGATTTTATATTCCCTTTCGTTGATTTCACAATTTTCATTAATTATGCAAGTTCTTACCTCAGATTACTAATCTGAGATGCTATTATATATGACTAAATTATTGTATCTTACTGATGATGCTAAAAATAGATCACCTTAAATAGTTGAGATCGAGGGAGCTGGGAGAGCAAAGTGGATCACTGCTCACGTGCTAGATGGCACCTGAGATACCTGCGAACAAAGAACACGTGAACTAGGTCGGGGGTTGATCCGGCGGAAACCCCTCCGACGCTCAAGTCAGACGTGCGGATAGTTGGTAATTGTAGAGAGAATTCGAATAGAAGGATTGATTGAGTAATAATCGCGTACCTTAATTCAATGAACTTAAGTTGTATTTATACTTTATTGATTGGGCCGAGATCAATTTATCGGGCAACCTTATTTGGATATGATTGGACTTCCGTAGAAATAGCTATTAAATTGGACATGTGACCCAGTAAATATGGGTTTATTGGGCTGGGCCAATAGACATATCACTTACCCAATTCAATCAAGACATTAAGCACAAATCTCAACTATATATTCTTGATAACGCAATAAAGGTTCTTCTACCTGAGTTCTAATTATTAAATCGATTTTTTGTTTCAAATTCAATAATAATAACACATCACATAAGTTGATTAAGTTCATACACTTAATAAAACAAGTAACAAATGTTCTTCTATCAGAGTTCTAATTATTAAGCACGATCTTCTGATTCAAATTCAATAATAATAGCAAAGCACATAAGTTGATTAAGTTTATGCACTTCATATACACAAATAGAAGAAATGGATCGATTTTTTTGACCGTACAATGTTGAAGAAAATGTATGAAAATGTCCGAGATAAAAGTTGTAGCCAAGAGATATGATAGAAATAATGGACTCTACCAAATCTGGGAATTGTTTTTTTCCAATTTGCTTTTATTTATTTATTTGCAACCTTTTGTTTCCTTTTCGATCATTTTTTCTTCATACAAACATAATTAAATTTAAAAAAAAAAATCCATATAAAGTAAACGTATATAATGGACCCATCTCGATCCCCGTGAATTTCTAATTTCTTAGTATAGATCTACTGGACCCATCCCGATCCCCGTGAATTTCTAATTTCATAGTAAAGATCTCGTTTATCGTACCCAACTACTATGACTAGTGCTATCATTTTCTATGTTTCAGCATTTG